TATGTGCCTGAATGCCGCCTTAGAAGACCACAAATACCCTCTACTCCTCCCTGAGGATCTTTTTGCACGTCTGAACGGTGGCAAGCGTTTTGTCAAACGACTTGTCAGACGCATATCTCCAGATTGAAATGTCAGAAGAATCGCGCGAGTTACTAACAATTAACACACAGAGGACTATTTCAGTATACAAGCCTGCCATTTGACGTTAAGTCGGCCCCGGCAATCGTTCAGCAGCTCATGGATATGATGTTACAGGGATACCTTGTGCCGATGCAAACCTGGACGATATACTTATCTGGTTGTCTAACCAGGAAGAACTACACCAACGAACGGAACTCGTGCTTCACAGAATAAAGGAGTATGGTTTTCGCCTACAAATGGACAAGTGTGAGTTTTTCATGACCTCCATTACATATCTGGGCTTTATCATTGACCAAGATGGACGAAGACCTGACCCATCAAACATCAAGGCGATCAAGTAAATACCTCCGTCGAAAGACGTAGCGACGTTGAGATCATTCCTGGGTATGGTGGTTTATTACGGTAGCTACCTGCCGTCCATGCACGACCTACGCGGACCATTCAGCCGGGTGCCGATGAAGGATGTTTCGGGCTCCTGGACTATCGAATGTCAGGAAGCATTCGACAGGATCAAGTTGTCACTAAGCTCGGAACTGATACTAACGCACTACGATCCAGACCTGTCAATTGTAGTGGCATCGGATGCATTCAGGTAAGGAGTTGGAGCCATCATCTCCCACACTTTCCCAGATGGGTCTGAGAAGCCAGTTGCTCATGCCGCTTGTTGACTAACAGCAGCAGAAAGAAAGTATAGTCAAATTGAAAAGGAGGCTCTCGCTATTATGTTTGTAGTGAAACACTTCCACAAAATGTTATATGGCCGTCACTTTACCTTACTAACAGACCACAAACTGCTTCTTGCTATATTCGGCTCGAAGAAAGGAATTCATGTATATACGGCCAATCGTCTGCAGAAATTGGCGACCACTTTGCTGGGGTCCGATTTTAACATCAAGTGCCGATCAAAGAGCGACATTTTTCAGGCCAATGTGCTGTCACGGTTGTTAGACGAACAGCACCAACCAGAAGACACTGTTGTTGCAAATGTCTCAATCGAAACGGAAGTTAACCGTGTACTTTCGGATACTGTGAGCAAGCTTCCAATATCTTTCAGTCAGATTCGAGACGCCACCTTACGGAACCCGCAGCTGTCACAGGTGAGCACGTTTTACCACTCACAGTGGCCTCGAAAATTTTCCGACGCACAGCTACAACAATTGTTCCAGAGAGGAAATGCACTGTCGGTCGTCGAAGACTGTACCTTGTTTGGTGAACATGTCGTCATTCCAGCCGAACTTCAATCTAAAGTCTTACATCAATTTCCTACTAGACACTCCGGTTCCAACAGGATGAAATCTTTAGCGAGGAGTTATGTGCACTGGCGTTTATGGATTCTCAAATTGAGGAGTTAACACGTTCCTGTTCAAATTGTGCCCTAGCAGCAAAGTCGCCACGGAAATGTGAACTGTTCTCCTGGCCAAAGTCCACGAAACCATGGTCAAGGGTTCACTTTGATTTCGCAGGAACAGTCAACGGACAGAACTACTTACTTATCATCGATGCATACAGCAAATGACCCAAGATATTCCAACTGTCGGACACCGCAACGTCGGCTACGATTACAGTCCTCAGGGAAGTATTCAGTCGGTTCGGTTTTCCGGAAACAATAGTATCCGACAATGGACCCCAATATACCTCTTCACATTTTGCTGAATTCTGTGCGGTACACGGCATGCAACATTTGCGCTCACCTCCTTATCATCCACAGTCAAATGGGCAAGCTGCAAGATTTATGGATACTTTCAAGAGGGCTCTGCTCAAATCGGAAGGAGACGGACCAATCCAAGAGGTCCTACAAACTTTTCTGTTAACGTAGAAGATTACGCCTAATCTACAGACGTCTGAAGTGAAGTCCCTAGCAGAATCACTCCTGCTCAGAAGGCGTCGAACGAAATTTGATCTAATGAGTCTGCCGGATAGACCCAATCCCGAAAGAAACTGGATAATGGAGCACCAGTACAACCCAAGGCATCGCGCTATACCACGACACTTCGAAGCTGAACATAAAGTATTGGCAAAGGACTATCGGCACAACCAAATCAACTGGACATCTGGAATGGTTGTAAAAAGATATGGCCATGCCTGTTATGAAGTTGCCGTAGGCGATGACAGATGGATCCGCCACATCAATCAACTCAGGAGCTACATCTCATTTGACAGAAGAGATGCCCTAACTACACCCCTTGAATTACTTCTGGATGAGTTCAAACTACCAAAAACAGAGGCTACTCAGCAAGATAAGCCTATCAATTCAACAACCTGTCCTTCGTCCGATTGTTGACCCAGAAGATGTCCCGATCGTTGTCGACATCCTGTCACGCCGATCCAGGTTAACCCCAGGCTGAAATCATATGACAGTGGAGTTCAAACGGAGAGCCGTTAGGAAGGGCACCTCCTAACTAATGGATCCGTGAACCCAAATGATGTGCATGGCTGGACGCTAAAACGCGTGCTTCCTTTTCCCGTGATTCTTGGTTGATACTTTAGATTCTATGTTCATGTGACCTCGAGTGCCTCGCGCGTCCGGTTGCAGTTTTTTGAGATTGACTGTTACGCAGTAGCCATCTTATTACACAGCCCTGTTTTCCTGTTTTCA